CAACCTGTAACACTCCCACTTTTATATTTGACTTTTTGTAATTTTAGTCTTCTATTTTTCTTAGTCAATCTAGTTACAGATTTATTGGTTTTGTTGATCTTCAAAGCAAAACAAAAACAGTTTTGGCCATTTGTTTTCTTTATTGTGTTTTCTATTTCGTTTGCTTTTGCTCTAATCTTTATTATTTCTGTCTTGCTAGCTTTGTGTTTAGTTTGCTCTTGTCTTCTATTAACTTAAGTTGCATAGCCAACATACAGTCTCTTCTAGACAATGTTTCATGCACCCTTGAGAAAAATTTGTTGTTGGGTGAATTGTTTTGATTGGTCAAATTGGTTGCTACTGTTGTTCAAATCTTTATTTCCTGTTGATTGTCTGGTTGTTGTAGTAATTTATTGAAAGTGGTATATCAAATCTCTACTATTGTAAAACAGTTTTTCCTCTCAAGTCTATCAATGTTTGCTTCATATATATTGGAGCTCTATTCTGTAATGCATATATGTTTATAATTATATTTTTTTGATTAATTGACCTTTTTATCAGTATATTTTGTCTTTTGTCTCATCAGGTTTTGATTTAAAGTCTTTTGATTGATATTAGTATAATTACCCCCTTTTTTAAGTTACTATTTGCATAGGATATCTATTCCTCTCGTTTTACTTTTAATTTCTGTGAGTCTCTTGGTCTGAAGTGAGTCTCTTGTAGATATCATGTAGTGGCTTTTTAAAAAATTCTGTCAAGTTTTGCCTTTTGGTTGAGAGTTTAATCTCTTTATATTTATTATAATCACCAATAAGAACAGACTTCTGTTTTAAGTTTTTGTTCCTTATTTTCTCCATTAGTGCCAGGTTTTGTGCTTAGTTGATTTTTCATATTGACATGCTTTAATTCCCTTTACATTTCCTTTTATATACTGTATATATTTTATTTGTGACCTATTTTTCTCTTGAAACAATTTTGCTAGTTTTTTTAAATCTTTCATAGAAATTGTCAAATTTAATGACATAATTTGTTCTTAACATTCCATCATTATCTCTTTAATAATTTGTAAATGATGGGATATTTCTTGCTCTTTTAATGGTAGTTTTGCCTTTTTTCTTAATCAATTTGCTAGAAGTTTTATCAGCTTTATTGATTTTTCTTAATAAAAACCAGGTTTAGTTTTATTAATTTCTTAAAATAATTTTTTAGTTTTTTGATTTCTAATATGAACTTTACTGTCTTGTACTTGCTTTGGATGTAGTTTTCTTTTTCTTTTTGGTGATACTGGGAATATGGAACTGAGAGTCTTAAACATACTAAGCACACACTGTGGTCGAGCTATGCACCCAGCCCGGCTGCATTTTCTCTCATGTTAGTTTGGAGATCTACTCATTGACTTGAGAATTGTTTCTAATATGGGCAACCTAACAGTGTAAAATTTCCTGTAACTATTGCTTTCATGGCATCCCTCAATTTTTGATATTTTTTTTCTTTTCATTCAAAATACCTAGTTCAAATTACTCTTAATTTTCTTTTGAACAATTTCATTATGATACTGCTCAGTTTAGCTTTCTTCATGTTTCTGTGCTTGAGGTTCATTTAGCTTCTTTGATCTGTGGGTTTATATTTTTATCAAATTTGAAAATTTTTGGCCATTATTTTTTCAAGTAGATTTTTCCTCCTCTTTTTTCACCAAGTGCAGTCACTTGCATATTAGGCTGCTTGAAATTGTTCAATAAATCATTTTGTTGCTCTTTCATTTTTTAAAAATTCTCACATAATAATTATAAACATCTATGCAATACAATGTGATAATTTGATACAGTTACACATCGTATAATGATCAAGTCCAGTAATTAGTATGTCCTTCTTAAACATTTATCATTCCTTTGTTTCGGGAAGCTTTGAACTCTTCTAGTTACTTATAAATTTATAAAATACATGATGAATTGTTGTAAACCCTGGGTGGGCAGAATCACAAAAGGGTGTTGTCCAGCAGAAGCCTGGTGGAGGGAGGGACATTGTGGGCTGGGTTCTTTCTCCAGGGCGGTGCAATGGTGAGGATTCCCTGGCAGCTCCCCAAACTGGGCTTGGTGCCCTGTGGAGGGGTGCAGGCTTCTCTAGCAGCAATTACTTTGCATGTCCATGGTGTGAGGAGGGACTGTTTGTGCCTCCTGCTTACCCTTTATCCACTAGGTGAAGTTCCTCTTGGCTCAAGGTTGATCTCAACTGGAGAGAGGATGGTAGATTCTGTGTGCATCGTTTCCTTTATAAGTCCATTAAGATTCTTCATGCTCTGTGTCAACTCTGCCAAATACTCAACTTCACTCTTTAGCTGTACAGTGTAATAGCAGTTTTTTTCTTTGTTTTGGTCTTCTTTTATGTCGGAAGCAGGCCATCCATGTCATCCTTCCATCTTGCTGACATCAGCAAGTTTCCATCCTTCTCATTTGAATCTCTTCTCTGTCTGTGCTTCATCTGAGGTGGTTTCTACTGCCGCTTCCTCACACTCATTCCATGGTGTCCAATCTGCTGTTAATCCCATCCTGTGTGTTTTTTATCTCATACATTACCATTTTCATCTCTAGAAATTTTATTTGGCTCTGTTTTCAATCACTCATGTCTTCTTAACTTTTTAAACTTATGGTATGTACTTATAATTGCTTTTAATATTCTTGTTTGTTGATTCTAACATTTATGTCAGTTCTGGTGTTTCTGTTGATCTTTCTTTGACAGAGCAGATTCTTTGATAGGTTCTGGTCTCCCATTCACAAGAGTCTGTTGTTAGAGTTTGTATATTCTTTAGTAGTTTCATACTCCATTTACTTCTTGTTTCAAGGGCTCTATCGTATATATTATAAGTAAAACAACCTTCATAAAATAGGCCTCCTGCAAAGAAACTGAATTAAAGATCATATTAAAAATGCAAATACAAATGAGTAAGACCAGCTGAGATGAGAGTTCTACTTCTGTTTGAACTTGTCACCTACACGAAGAGATTGAAAAGGTGGTTTGATCAGGTCTAGTAAGAAGTTGGCAAAATCAGATTTACCAAAAAGATTCTCACTATTGTTACCAATAAAAACAAATTTATCAGCCACTTTCCTGAGAGAGAGAGAGAGCATGAACAAAGCAAGCATGCCGAAGAAGTAGTTTTAGCATGTGAGATCAATTGCCACATATGAGATTCACCACAGGAACCAAGGAGAGAAAATTGAGACTTTAGGGGTCTGGATCCAGATGAGGTACTCAGGTCAGCAGTGTCAGTGGGCTGTGATGATAAGATTCTTTCTAATGGGTAAGTTCCAGCTGTTTTAGAAGCCTAGCTTAGAGGCAGTTTCTCGGTATTCATATGGAAGTTTCTCATATAACACAGACAATCTTTAGACTGTTGTGAAGGAACACATGCAAAACCAAGAAATAATAAGACAAAGGGGTAATGGAGAGCAGGTAAGGATTACAAACATTCTTCTCTTGGGTAAACTAATTAGGAAAGAGGCTGTTCTGAACATGCACCTGAAATATTTTTTTAAAAGGTTCTTTATATTCTTTCTGATAAACCTTGAGAATTTAACTGTTAACATGTCCGTAATAAGAATTATGTACCAATGGTTTTAATTTGGTATCTGTACCAGGTAAGAACCATATCCTCTCTCTAAAATTACTCATTTTTTATAAAGCAATAGAAAGAAAATGTATATAATTTTATATCAATGTTTCTACTTTTAAAGTGGCATAGTGCTTCTTTAGAAGGAGTAAAAGCAAGATTGTTCAGTGTGTGGGTTTTTGTTTGTTTGGTTGCAAGGAAATTTTATACTTACGTTTTCCTTGAACTGTATAAAGCAGCACTTGTCCTGTCACTAATGGTCACCTGTTCTTGTAGGCATACCTTTATCATCTCCTTTTTCACCCTAGCCTAAAATACCAAACTTTATTTTGAATGTATCTTTGGCATACAGGAAGACTAGGTGTTCTGTTATGCATTTAGTTCATGAGGGTGCTGTTCATCTTAGTTGGAGCTTTCCTGAATTGTCACGAGCTAATAAGGTCTTGTAAGTTTATTTCCAAACTTCCTGAGCTAATGTTTTCCCTCTGGCCAGTGGGGTAGACTGCACATTATTTTTGATACTCTTTTAAAGATGTGGGCAGTTACTGTTCATTTAAGCCAGATGGCTTGTGTCAACTCGTTTTCCTGGAAAGGAGAGAATTTATTTGAGGCTGTTGTAATAAAACCTGTGTGACATCTTATGAATTAGTATTTATAGAAACATTTCATAGAAATTTGGGCATCCATGTTTTACTTAGGAAGATTCTTAGAGGGTTGGGTCTAGATTTTTTTTCTGCATAAATTCTTTTTTTAAAAACTCCTGCAGTAGCAAGTAATCATTAATTAGATTACACAGAACCAATATTGTTTTTTTAGGATAAAAACAAAGAATCCAAAAGACAAGAAGTGAGTGCCTTTTTATAGTTTTACCAGCACTCCAAGCTGCTTGCCAGGCAAGCTCTCAGTTAGCAGTTGGCCATTGGTGAACAACGCTTTAAACTTTTAACAATTGTGTGTAGATAATTAAGAAGCCCAGGGAAACTGCCATGGTCTACAGTCCCTTGAGAATATTCATTTCTTTGTTAGCACTGTAATTTGGATCTTAATTTTCAATATGCATAGTCAAATCATCACTTTAAATTGATTTTTTTTTTTTTTTGGTGGGGGACAGTACTGGGGTTTGAACTCAGGGCTTCATGCTTGCTAGGCAGGTTAAATTGAATTTTATTTCTCCTTTTTGCAAGAAGTACAGGTGAGTACTTGAATTCTAAAGCATTTGATTTTCATTTACCTTGATTAAATCCTGAGCTGCTATTCATTAGTGACACTTTTTCTGTTATCCTCATATCCTAAGAATTTAGGGTATGAATTTGAGCATTTGATAAAGTAGCTTTTCCATTTTCTGCTTTTCTTAAAAATGGATTTTAAAAGTATATTTCACTCAGTGACTTATCAAGACTTTCATTTCTTCAAGGTGTTGACTTTAAGGTGAAAACAATTTCAGTGGATGGAAATAAGGCTAAACTTGCAATATGGGTAAGAGTTTTTAAAATGTGTTTTTATAAATATTAAACTAGTACTTTTTAGGGAAGTAGACATTGATTTCTTTAGTATTCTAGAGGTGAATTTTCAACTTGTATTAAATAACTACTTAGAAGATTTGTTTTTAAAGGATACGCAATAATTAGTTATATCTTATAACTGTGTAACTAGGCAGAGACTTGTTCTACTTACGTTTTTTAAATGTGTAATCTTTTCAAAATATTTCAAAGCTGAATAGAGCATAAAAAAATCACCTTGTCTCCCTGAGAGAGTCATTGTTACTGGATATGTTCCATAAGAGTTTTAAAAAGATCATCTAAACTGAACCTACACTAAAAGTAGTTACTGAGGGGAAGGAAAATTAAGTGATAATTAGGAGAAAAATTATTTTTCCTACTTATTAGTATAGATATTTGTAAAATTTAAGTTTACCAAATTTGAATTTGCTTTTTAATACCTTGTCTTTCTTTACTGGTGCTTTTTCATTTTCCTGTGAGTCCTATCATTCTGCTCCACATTGTTCTGCTAACTAGACCTCTTCATGCTAATGCTGACTAAGGCAGCATTACTGTCAAAACATCTAAGAGGCTCAGTGTCTATGTCTCTCTGCCAGTATGATTGCTACACATACTATTTATAAAGCACAATTCTATATATATTTATATTCTACATATACTATGATAATTAAATATATGCATATATTTTATAACATGATAAATAATATTAGAACTGATTACTAGTCATCAAATTGAGACATATTTCCGTATAGTGGTTAAATGGTAAATACAGCCTGTATGTCATCACAGATTCTAATAGCAAGTGTTCATGCATTGTATGTTGTCATCTACCTTCCTGGTATTCTCTGAATGCTACACAGTTTCTAACATATTTTTATCTCAAAATAATAACTGTAACTGTGTATACTTTTTGTTTTAATTTTTTTCTAACGTAATATTTTAATGATTGTTAACCTGTTTGCCACTCTTCTCATAATGTATTTAACAACAATCAGAGCAGTCAGTGCTGTCTAACAGAAAACATTTTGGCAAAATGTTGGACTAGACATAGCAAATATATTGAACAATTTAAGAATTCTGACTTCTGTACTAACGTGGGGGCCTGATTTTCCATGTTGTTTTCATGGTTAACTCATCTTCTCTCTCTGCCTTTGCTACTACTTTGTGAAATACAAGATTAGAATAGGATCTGAGCCTCCATGGTTGCAGTAAGATTTTTCTCTTACACAAGAGTTTTCTTTTTATTCTGCTTTAAATTTTCTTTCTACTCTTGCTTAATGAGAGGCTACAGACATATAGGATATCTTTATCCTAGTCTTGTAAGTATTTTTAAAAGAAAGGTTCCCCTCTGACTACAAGAATAATACTGGTTCATTTAAAAAAGGATAATTAAGACAATATGAAACCAATGAAAAAGTTTATCTTTAATCAGTTTGCTTTTTAGTGAACATCCTTAACAATATCTGGGTATACATATACATACTGTTAAACATGGGTATATCTGCAGTTTCCAAAAGAAAGGGATTTTATCTTATGTTTTAAAACTTGTTTGTCCTCCTTCCTCTACCTACTCACATAATTTGTACATTTTTCTGTGTCAACAAATATAAAGGTACATCATTTTAAATGGCTACCTAGTATTCAGTTTCATAGCTATACTTTAATCAACCCTCAATTTAATTTAAATTGAGGCCAGTTTTTCATAAAGGTAAGCATTGATCCAGTGAGCATCCTGATTTATACATCTGTGTGTACCTGTTTAGTTAGGTTATTGTATATACCTAGAAGTAGAAAATTGGCTTAAAGAATGTGAAGATTTAACATTGATATACACTAACAGTTTCATTTCTCAGTTTTTACTCCCAATAATTATATTCTACCAATTACATTTTCATATTCACTATTCCACTATTTAGTCTGTGCTAAGTATCACCAGTCTTTTTAAAGGTAGGTATACTTTGCTTTATGTAGTTTTTTAATTTATAGTATTGTTCTTGAAAAGTTGAGCATGTATCCAAATTGAATGTTTTTTTTAAATATTAGGTGTTTATAAGAAATGTTGAAACCAAAAAAATTTTTAAAGAGAAAATCATGTTTTATCTCAAGTTTATCTGTTTAGAAAATTTAATTTTACATGTGCTACTTCTTCACTTAAACATGGCAGAATAGGGGTTAGTTTCTGTGGCTGTGAGAATCTGGAAGCAAGTACAACCTGCATTTGTATAAATGTATCTGTGAAAGCATTAATGCTCAAAGTGGTTTACATTGAAAGTAATTTTCCTCTTAAGTTTCTCTTCTGTGTCTATAAATTTCCCCAAATACTCTGTTGTCTTATGGCATTCTCTCCTTTGATCAGGCAATGAAACTTGCTATTGCTAGATCCCCTCAGTGCTATTTTAAAGCTCCTCCTCAATCTATAAACCTCTTAAAGGTTATTAACATTTTTTATATCAAAAGGAACTTCTGCTTGTCCCTCTAGCAAAACTTGCATTGGCCACAGTGAGACTGGTAGCTAAGTTGAGGCTCGATGTATGCCTTTACTTTTCTTCAGTTTTTGCAGACTGCAAACTTTTTCTTAAAGGTCCAGTTAGTAAATATTTAGTCTAACCTTAAAGTGGGCCATACGGTTATATGTAAATGAATGGGCCTGGATATGTTTCATTTTATTCAATAAAACCTTAAGTAATCAAACAGGTGATGTGCTGAGGCAGCAGTTTGCCAGCTGCTGCTTTGTAATATCTTAGGTACCTTGAAACCATAATCCAAGGATGGTGGTAGAAAGAAGACAGGGAAGGAACCAGGCTTGCAGTAGAGGCCTGGTTAAATTAGTTCATCGTTATAATCATTATTGTTCTTGTTCTTGTTATTTATAAAATAAATTCTGAGCAACTTTTCTTTGGCAAGAATTGGTCTAGGCACTGGAGTTAAACTGGTGATTGGGTAGATAAGAGATCTCTGCCCTTGTGAAATTTGAATTTCCTACCTAGGGTCCATCCTTTATAGTTCATTAAGTCTGACATGGATCGTAAACATGTAATAAGGAGTGGTTTGGTTTTATGCAGTTTCCTAAAAGGGGTTACAAAGAAAGCCTTAAAAGAGTCCACCCTAAAAATTCCTTACCTAAAATAAGACAACCCTGTATTTCTCTTTAACTCAGAAGTTCTCACCTTTGATTCTACAACCTGGGAAGATTTTTTAAATTCCTGTCCTTACCTTTGACCAATTAAGTCAGAATCATTGGAGACTGTACACAAAAATTCCCAGAAAATTTGATTGGCATTCCCCTAGAGTTGAGAATCATTAATAAAAATCTTAAATCCAAAGTGCATTTTTCTAGAGATGAGTCAATCTTAATTTTATTTCATCTAACACAGTTCATCTTAAAAGTTCAACTGTTTAATGATAATTGCATTTTAATACTGTTTTTAATAATGCTGTTTAACTTTTCTTAAATTGGTACATTGAAAGTCTTATACTTTGTTTTATTTAATAATAGTTAATTGTCACTTTTAGGATACTGCTGGTCAAGAGAGGTTTAGAACCTTAACTCCCAGCTATTATAGAGGTGCACAGGGTGTTATATTAGGTAAGTTTTTTAACTTGTAATACATTGTTTGAAAATAATATTTATTGGAATTTTGAAATTTTTCTACTGTAGGAAAGTCAGTAAGTTTTTGTTTTATTTTTCTTTAGTGCTACTTTTATATAATTTGAAGTTAGAGTGACTTCATTGGTATTAAAATTTAAAAAGTTTTTTCAGCCTTTTGCCCAGCAATTAAAAAAGATTAGACTACTTTCTTTGATTTGGAAAGACATGTTGATGAAGACATAACTGAGAATTAACCACTCATGTTGGTCTGCCTTTGAATCTTCATCAGTGAATTAATATTTGCTTCAGTCTCTAAAGGAAGAAGAGTTTGTTGCTAAATGGAATGTGTTTTATCAATCCTATTTAGAAAATATAACAAAAAGCACTTAACACTATTAATTCATAACCAAACAAAATTTGAAAACCAATGTGGACTCAATATAATTTGTTGTGAAGTGTTGTTCTTAATATTCCTGGGAAGCTGTTTAAAAAGAAAATTATAGGGAAAAATCTTTGTTTTTTTCATCATGACTTGATAATGTCTTACCATTTTGATTTAGCATCCCGTAAGTTTAGCAAACAATTTGAATTAATAAGCTTATTATAATGCAAGGTGATAGAAGATGAAAATGCTAACAGAGGAAGACAAACAGGATCCCACCCAGTAACTATACTGTAATTTTTGCAAAGTTGCATGTTTCAAAGTGTCTTACAAGTTACTTGTAAGAAACAAATTAATAGATTTTTTGTTTATTTTGCTGAGACTTGAATCTACACACTTTTTGGTGTTTGTGCAGATACCTTTTTCATTATGAATGGGAACTACTGTTTTGCTGTAACTGTTTTTCAATTATCATACCAGATACAATTTCATTTCTATCACATGATTGAAATTAGTGTTATGTGTTTTTTAAATACTTAGTTCTTCCATGTAGATCAAGAATTGTTAAGCATTGAAGGCTTAAAAGAAAAGCAGACTTGCCCATATATTAATGTTAGCTTCTAGCTACATATCAGAAGTATAATTACCTCTTTATTTTTAATGCATCCTTAATAAGTGACTTTACTTTTATTCTAGTTTATGACGTCACAAGAAGAGACACCTTTGTTAAATTGGATAATTGGCTTAGTGAATTGGAAACGTACTGTACAAGAAATGACATAGTAAACATGCTAGTTGGAAATAAAATTGACAAGGTAAGAAAGCGGACATTTGACATTTTGTTTCTGTGTTTGGTGGCAGCTTTTCTTAATCATTGCTTTTGTTTTTTAGGAAAATCGCGAAGTCGATAGAAATGAAGGTCTGAAATTCGCAAGAAAGCATTCCATGTTATTTATAGGTAAGTATGTGAATGAATATTCACATACTTTTTAAAAAAAATTTTTGGAGGTATTGGGGTTTGAACTCAGGCTTCATGCTTGCAAGGCAGGTGCTCTACCACTTAAGTCATGCTTCCAGCCCTTTTTCCTCTGGTTATTTTGGAGATACAATCTTATTCTTTGCTCAGGACAGTTTGGACCACAATCCTATTTTAAGTTTCCCACTGTAGCTGAGATGACAGGTATGAGCCAGCACATCCAGCTTCTTTTCTGTGGAAATGGGGTTTCACACACTTTTTTTGCCCAGGCCAGCCTAGAACAACTATCCTTCCAATCTCGGACTCCCACATAGCTATGATCACAGGCACATGCTACCATGCCTGCTGTTGTTTGAGATGGGCAACTTTTTGCCTGGCTGGCCTTGAACTGCAGTCCTCCTGATCTTAGTCTTCCAAGCAGCTAGGATTACAGGTGTGAGCCGCTGGCACCTGGCTTTATCCTTTCATTCTTAAAAAGGAATTTTTAAAAAAGAATATTTGTTAAATTTGTTTTGATTTTTACATTTTTTTATTGTCTTGCTGGGTGGTTGGGGGTACATTGTAGCATTTACAAATTTTCTTACAATGTATCAAATATATAATATACTTGAAATTTATTGGTGAACCATAAAATATATTCAGTTCATAGTTGCCTTGTGCTATAAAATTGTACTGTAGAATGAGATTCTTTTTCTTTCTATGAAAATATGATAGGGTCACATTGTGAAGTCATATAGAACACTGCTTATTCATTCCCCTGGGGATATGATGTCATTCAGTAAAGCTTGGTTCCCAGTGCTAAAGTTGTGTCCTTCTGGTTCATGTGCTGATGCCTATCCTGGGAGCCTATCAGAAATGCTTTATCTCAGGCCCTACCCCAGATTTTTTTAATTAGAATCTGCATTTTAACAAGACCCTCCCTATGGCTCATATGCACACTCACATTTGAAGAACAAGGCAGAGAAGGGTTTGATAGTGCTTGGCAAACTATACTATGGGCCAAGTCTGGCTCCTTCGTTTATATTAACAAACACAGCCATGCCTATTTATGTATCTGTGGCAGTTTCAGTTATTACCAGAGAAGCCATATGGCCCACAAAGCCTACAATAGTTACTGTCTGACACTTTACAGAAAACATTTGTAGAAAAGTGGCCTAGCTACAACAGAATCATCTGGAGAAGGAAAGAAAGCATCGTAAGGGAAGAGAGAATGACTGGGCTGGTAGCCTAGTAAGGAAAGTTCTTTAAAGTAATGCCATTTGAAAGAGATCCATTAGTTTGAGGATCTAGAGGCTGAGAGAGGAACAAATATTTCCTGAGGTAGGTACCAGCTTTGTGTGTTTAAGAGACATGAAGAAACTTGTGAGCTGGAACCTAGTGTGAAATGGGGAAAAAGAAGGCTAGTGATGGCAAGAAAGAAGCTAAAGGTGTGTTTGACCTCATAGGGTATGGTAAACAAGTGTGGTAGACAGCAGTGGAGTTGTGATGTGATCTGATACTCTTCTAAAACTCCATTTGCGTAGAATATATGGCTATGAGAAGAAGCTGATTGATTCTTCTCTTGCAGTGGCCCAGATGAATGACCCTTTCACTATGTAGCAGTGGTGGTGGGAAGTAGGCACTTGTGGGAGATAGTTTGAAGGTAAAACTGGCAGAATGTGCAGATAAACTGGGTGAGGAGGATAAGCAAAGAGAACAAAGACATAAGTAGATTTTGGGTATGAGCAAGTAGGTAGATTGTACTGCCATTAATTGAGATATGGAAGATCAAGCAGGTTTGGGGTAGAGAATCAAAATTTATGCTTAAACATAGACTAAGACATTTTTCAGATAACCAGTGAACATGCCTGTCCTTGACATTAAGGTTACATTTAAGATCTTGTATTGGAGATTCCTTTAAGAACGAGGATCAAGAAAGGGCTGAAGATTAAGCCCTGGGGAACTCCAACAGAGGTCAGCAGAAAGAGGAAGTGCAGCAAATAAGGCTGAGTGATGTATCAGTGAGATTGGAGGATTGCTAGGAATGGCCGGTGTCCTGGAAGTAAAGTGAGCAGAGGATTTAAAGAAAGAGAAAATGATTAGCAATATCACATGCCCAAAGAGGTCAGTTAAGGTTAGGATGTTTGATTAGACAAGGTAAAGATGTTGGTGGTCTTTTTTTTTTTTTCACATTTTTTTTCTTTTATTATTCATATGTGCATACAAGGCTTGGGTCATTTCTCCCCCGTGACCCCACCCCCTCCCTTACCACCCATTCCACCCCCTCCCTCTTCCCCCCACCCCTGCAATACCCAGCAGAAACTATTTTGCCCTTATTTCTAATTTTGTTGAAGAGAGAGTATAAGCAATAATAGGAAGGAACAAGGGTTTTTGCCGGTTGAGATAAGGATAG